TCACAATCCTCCCTATATACCAATTTTTTACCATTAAAGAAATTTTGCAATGCAAGAAAAATATGATAATCGCTTGGCGCCAAGTCCGGACTGTATGGCGCATGCGTTAAAACTTCCCAAATTAGCGCCCGAAGTCTCTGGCGAGTCTCTATAGATGTGTATGGCCTAGCGTTGTCCTGATGGAACACGACACCTCTCCTGTTGGCCAATTCTGGCAGTTTCTGGTCAATTGCTATGTTCAAACGCTCCAGTTGTTGACAGTAGAGATCAGAATTTGGCCATATGGAAGCAACTCATAATGAATAATCCCCTTCCATTCCCACCAAATGCATAGCAGAACCTTCCTGGCCGTTAGTTCTGGTTTGGCCACCATTTGAGGGGTTTCACCGCTCTTTGACCACTATCGTTTTCGCACAGGATTATCCTATGTGATCGCCAGTCGCCATCCGTTTAAGAAATGAGTCTATCTCATTCCGTTTGGCCAAGGCTTCGCAGATAGAAATTCGATCCATCCTATATTTTCTGTTTATGAATCCAATTTGTGAAAATGATTTAAAACTGTTTTATGGTCGATTTTTAGCTTCTGGGCGATGTTACGACTGCTAACATGCCGGTCAACTTCGATCATTTCTCTAATTTTATCGACATTTTCGACGAAAAAGTAATGGATTTATTTGTCCCCAACCTAATATATCTAAAAAAAAAAATCAAATTTTTGGTGAAGTTATGCGTGGAAAGATTCCAGAAGGAATTGTAACCATCTTTCCTTGTAAGAACATACATAATATTTTTTCGATAGCTTTTGTTCATTGCTGGTGTTGTGTTCTGAAATAATTTGAATCAGTCTGCATTCTTTGGAGCGGGAGAAGTCTCCCTTGTTCGACCAGACCAACTTATGGAAAATATATAGACTCTTAACAACATCAGTTACAACTTACGATGGTACCACGCAGAACCTATCGCCTTCTAGACTGAAAACTTGTCGCTCGAATTCACATAAAGCGTCCTAAATCTTTCATATAGTGTTCAGTTGTGTGGTATTTCATAACCTCGGAGATGAAACAGAAAATTAGGTTGGAGGAATTTAAAAAATACCCATTAGACGAAGTGTCATGTAACATATTTATGATGACTATAATGGATTAACAGCCACCTCATGAATACCCCTTGCATTCTGTTGCATGCAAGCACTCTCAGATGACCTTAGATACAAATCACATATGTATGTATGTTGGTCGTATTCTAATGTCACATTTATTATAATTTAAAACAATAAAATATAATTGTGATTTGTTTCTTGTCTATTCTCTTACCACGATAACTCTCGTTGGCATGTTTGGTGTGGCATAGATAAATTTGAATTTGTGTTTTGTTGCTATTTCAGATAGTATCAGTCTCAACCCCCACCCAACCGCACACCCATTCATGCCATGGACAAACTCAAAACTCAAAAAATGTTGCTCATAACCGTTAAAATGCCACAACAGTCACGTGACACTTTGCCATAAATTAGGCGAACAACCGAAAATGCCATCACTTATTGGCGCAGCGAACAGTGGCCACAACAATTAATCGACTGATGTACACATGGGATGGATGCTCCACATGTTGATGCCACATCAACATGCATGCATCCAACCAATCAACCATCGAACCGTTCGTTCGCGATGCACAAAAGTCATTGTATGGCTTGTTGTATGTTCGGTAAATGGCACAAGAGCAATAACATTGGGTTGTGAACATCGTTCGGGCATGCATTCGACAACAATTCGCCAAAGACAAAGTGCAATTTAAGCGTTAAACTGACACACATACATACTCATAAGCGTGTGAGTGTGTGCGAGGTATGCACCCATATGCCAGCGACACTGCTCAGCACTTCATTTACTTTGATTTGCCTGACAAACGCTGCATTGACGCAAAACATAAAGAACTTGTGAACATAACCATAACATTTGTTGGAGCGGCAATTGCATGTTCTGACGTTTCGTTTGTCGCTTCCTTCCTCAATTCCCATCATCATCATCGCCCATCGCATTTAATGAGTTTTTCTTACTTCGTTTTTGTTGTTGATTGTTATTCTTATTCTCTCAGTGTGGGTTTGTGTGTATTTTTATTCTATACTACAAATACCGCAATTCAAAGATCTTCCTCTATTTGCGAACAAAACGACCTACCCACCACCACCTACAAACCCGGACACACACACACACACCTACCTATTGTTGATAGTATCTGGGTGGTTTTTTGTTTGACAATGCTTTTATGCTGCAAAGATTAGAGCTGTCTCAGCACAAGAGACATTAAAGTTTATAAAAGTTGTACAAAAAGCGTGCACACAGCGACGACGACGACATTACATCGAACTAACCGCAAGCCGTTGTCATCTGCTTTTTGCGCTTGCCTACTGTTTTGTGCCACAAAGCAGTGTTGTATGTTGCCGGTGCTGGCAAATTCTCACAGCTTTAGTCATCTACTAATGACAGTCATTCTGTGCTGATGCATCTGCCTAGGTACTAAGGTGAATATGTACGAGATGCGGAATAAAATGCATAGAACTTTTAGAGAAGAAAATGCTAGTATTTCTCTGAAAAGCATACAACCATTATATAAAGTAGAAAAATGGTGAATTTTACTGGTTCGTATATTCATAATTCTCGGATTTAAAACTTCTATTAACCCTACGGTCAATAACCAAAAAAGTATACGTAGATCAATAACCGTGGTACATTTGTACCCATTCAAAGATAGCTCCGTAACTCATTAAAAAATAGGACTATCGTGAGGTTTTTTGTTTTAATTTAGTCTATACGGATCTGATGTAGATGTAGGAAATCAAAATTATATATACATTAAAATAATATATATTTAAATCTATGCTTAAATGATAATCTATCTATATCTAGCATGGATTTAAATATATTTTATTTTAATGTATATATAATTTTGAGTTCCTACACCTAGATCAGATTAGTATAGACTAATTTAAAACAAAAAACCTCACGATAGTCCAATTTTTTAATGAGTTACAGAGCTATCTTTGGATGGGTACAAATGTACCACGGTTATTGATCTACGTAGGTAATGACTTTAAAAAATTGTAAAAATTATATATATGGAAAATATTTATAATTTTTTTCTTCGATTATGTGTGAAAATACCTCAAGAATGATTCCTCAAAATTTGATCCAAATATCTCCATTATTAAAAATTTTACAGCATTTTTATTCAAAAAAAGGTACAAATGTACCCTGTTATTGACCGTAAGTGTGAAATCAGGAGAGATTATATCCCGAATTTAGAAACAAATACTCTTTCTAGTGATATTTCAATGAGAAAGCGTGCACGTCTGGCTCTGGTGTGAACTATGATCATTAGCGTTCCCCAAAACCAATTTCGAGAATAAGGAAGATCTTCACCGATTTGATTTATCCTAGTGCATACGATAGTAATGTACGCACATAATAGTGTGCTAAAATTTGGGGCCGATTGGAGTTTTATTTTTTTTATCGTCCAGATAATAAACGATCAAATGTTGTCTATCATCAATTATTATGCACTCTACCTGTTCGGAATATTTAATCCTGACAGAATGGTTACAATGTTCAACCCTGAAATTAAACTTTTTTCGAATATTTTTTTTACCATATTCGAACATGCATTTAGAGAGTATGGAGCTTAAATCATAGTACATACAACACCTAGTATTACGAATGATATATTGTTAGGCTCATTCGTTATCTTTTTTATTTGTAGCCGCAATTTACAAAAAAAAAAAAAATCGAGAAAGGCGTTTAAAGTTTTAGAATCTAACTAACTAATAACAATTCATTATAAATACAAGAGTTGTTGAGATTTTAAATTGAAGTTTCAAAGGGACATTGTTCAATTAGAGTATACTCGATTTATGTAAAAAACCAAAATTCAATTTTAAATCATATTTTCATTCTCGGCGGTTCTTATATTATTATACTATTCACGATGGTTATTTCTGTTTTACTGATTTTAATAAAATATTTGCAGATCATATTTTTTATTCATAATTCCCAAAATTCTTAATATTTTTCGATCACGTTGAGAAAAAACCTTATTTACATTGTTCTTATTTTCGCTCAAGTCCCTTACTGATTCCTCCTTCGATAATCTCAATTCCACATCTGGTAATTGTTATTCATTCTGTCGTATCTCTGTGTCGATTTTTTTTTTCTTTTTTTCAATTGGTAGTTATCTACTACTTTTGGTACTTTAGTTTTATGTTCACAGCATTGTTTTTATTTGCCATAATTTGCATTGTTCGCCAACTAGTTTTGTTTTTGTTTTTTATACTTGTCTTACTTCACAGACGAGTATAATCATCCTCCGCACACATACAACAGTTGCGTGTTTTATTGAAGTCATACACCATCTCCGCCTCCTCTTCCTCCTCGTTAAGTCGCATCTACTAATATTACGTTGTAGCACAAAAAACGCCATGTCGATTGAGCGACGTCACAATATACGTCACTTGCCAATTTCGTTTTCAGTCAGTTAGTGTGTTATTAAAACCAGCAGTGTTTACGTCGCGCCTACCCCATCTCCAACACACATCACACTCAGAGTTTTACGGTCATGTGATGAGGCAACTCTTCGCTGCTGTGCATCAAACATCGCATTACAGTTAATAACCAGTAGCTGCCACATGATGCACCTCTAAATGTGGATTTTATTTGTTTGTTGTAGTTGTTTTTTTTTATCTACCTCTCTGAATATGGTTAAACAGGAAGTTGCGTTTTGTTGCTCCACTCCGCCTCTGTGTGGAGTTAATGTGATGTTGTTGTTTATTTTCCCATCAGCACATTGTTTGACTGAAATTATGAAATTGTGAGAGCACAAATATAAGGAAGTATTTACTCTAGAGATATTCTAAGTCCTTTTTGTATACTTTTTAAATAAATTTTCTTTAAAATAGATTCAAATTGAATTTGATTTTAATTGATTTTTCCATTTTGTTTTCTTTCCAGCTAAAAAACAAAACGGTGCTGCATTGCGTACAAATAGTTTAGGTTCTGGTACACGCACACCACCCTTGGAGCGTAAAAGCAAATTAAGTGCTTTGGGTCGTTTCTTCAAGCCGTGGAAATGGCGGCGGAAAAAGAAAAGCGAAAAGTTCGAAGCTGCATCAAAGTGTAAGTAGAGTAACAGTATATAGGATAATACAATTAACTCATTGGGACAAATCAAGATTCGTGACACAATTTCTGTTGGTTTTTCCTACTACATCGACACTATGTATACACATATAAAATTTCTGGGCAAGGAACACGTTTAGATATGATCAGTAGCTCAAATGGTTTTTCGTCTCCAAAAGAAAGGGGTTGGGACAGCCCATAAAAATTATTTATTCTGACAAGTCTATCATTTCTTGTGAACCGTATCACAGTTTCAAGATCCTTACTTACTTAGCTGGCTTGTGACAGAACTTTCGACCATAAGCCGACCTTAAAAAAGATTTCCAGGCGCGTTACAAGATCCAGTGCCATTAATACCATGTTACCTCATGTCTTTACGGTGTTTCGACGTTGTCTTAATGTACATCAATAGGTTTCGTACGGTTCATCGATTTTTGTTGATCAGGATAGCTGTGTATATGACCCCCAAATGTGACCAATTATTGCATCTCACTAACCAGTCCTTCTTTAACAAAAATGCCCCCTTTGAGCACTTTTTATTTGATTTATGTAAATAATAATTGTTTCTTTCGATATTTCTTTACAGCCCTTGAACGCAAAATATCAGTACGTGCCAATCGTGAAGAACTTGTTCAAAAAGGTATTTTATTGCCCGAAAGTCCACTGGGGAATATTCAAGAACCAGGTAAGTGTAGTAGCGTTCAGTATTCATTTACAATTGTAATGAAATTAGTTGCCCATTTTTTTAAAAATTATTATTCGCAAACCTTTACTTGGCCCGTAAAACGTCCTGTAATATCTAAATTCTCTATCCCACTGTTCATCTATTCGTGTAGAATCTTCTTTGAACAAACTAAACTCAGAATCTTATGTGGATATTTTGTAATAATCCTAGACTGCAAACAAATTACCATGAAGTTGTACTTCAACTCCATAATTCCTGTCAATTAGCATTTTGTTATCTATTCTGAAAGTGTTTCTCTGGACATCATGCCCATCGATTTATGGATAGATTTAAGAAAACCAGCTAGACTACAAATATGCGCAGAGTCGACAACCAGCATTTAGCAGTAAACTAAAGCTAAGCGCAGTGTTGTCGACAAGATAAGCCTAAAGAATTATTAAAATAAGCCAATTATGTTTAGCACAATGTGGATTGACTTGGGAGGAAAGCAGCAGGCTGACAAGCTCTCCTCATCATCGATACTCCAGCCAACAAGAGCCAAGCCAACAAGTGCAACGAATAATGTTTTCTTTTTCTGCAAATGCATTCCAGATAATAAACGATCAAATGTTGGCTGTCATCAATAATTATGCACTCTACCTGTTTGGAATATTTAATCCTGACAGAATGGTTACAGTGTTTAAGGAGTTGGAGAGGGAGAGAGTATAGTGGTGTTGTTCGATGTTATATAAATAAGAAAATAGTAGTTGTCCTTTTGTAATAATATTGTTAGATTTGTTTTCTATGTTTAGTATAACGTTAAGTCATGCTTGAAATCAAACTTCAAATATAGAAGCACCTTAAATCATAGTACAATCAATGCCCGGTATTACGAATTATATATTGTCTGGCTCATTCTTTATAGCGAAACATACTTTATATCTCAAAGTTATCCGTAATAAAAATAAAATATTTAATATAATATCCATAATAGTAACATGTTCACATATTTTTTTTTAAAAAGATAAACCCATTATTTTTTGCGCCATTCATTATCCCAATATACAAATTTTGAAAACATTTGTTATTACGGTAGTCAGTGTAAAAATTACAATATTTTGTAAATTTCGTTATACCGAGCGTCGACTGCATTTAATAAATGTTTTAAAAAATCGTTTTTCTGAGACGAAATTTTGCACAGGCTATTGACTTGAGACTAGAATAGCGAGTGTTCAGTTTTATTAAAATCGGTTCAGTTCAAATCGATATAGTATAGTTCCCATGTATAATTTCATCCGATTTTATATAAAAAGGAAATTATACGTCTTTTCAAATAAATGGAAATCGATATATAGCATCCATTTATGATTGATTGTGCGCATAATATACCTCGAAATCTAAACGATTATAAAATGTTAGTTTGGAATAAAACATTAAAAAAAAACATAAAAAAATGCATCAATAAATACATAAAAAAATAGACCATAACTGTTTTAAACAATTTCTCCAACCCAATATTATTTTTCTCTTTTTGTCGAATATTGCGGGCGATAGGTTTAATTTACCCTCTGCAAATGAAATATTTGTTTAAATTGGCGCCATCTGGCGGAAATTTAAATAAAATTTATCAGCGCTTTATTAGTGGTTTAGTTTGACTACTCAACACTAGATCGAGCTTTTTCAAGTTCTTCAACATAACATTTTCATTAATTCAAAAGCTACTGTTATCACAAAGCTTTCCCGTAAAGAGAATTACACATTCTGCTTTTATTAATTCAATTTTTTATTTATTAATTTCTATACAATAAAATCCGTTAATCCAGATAATTGATTGCGGACCCCAAATCGGATTATTGGCGTTTTTTAATTGGTTTATATTTTTTTACTTTATTTATCATTTAAATAAATAGTTTTATATTTTAAAATTTTGTGAAATGCCGAATAATCCGCATTAGCGGAGTCCAGATCATTGCTATTACACTGTATTATTATTTTAATTTATTTTTCCTTTATTATTATTTTTATATTTTGTTTTATTTATTTTAGGTGAGGAATCTTATTACAATGATTCAAGTGCCGTTAATAATTCAGCAGTGAATGCGAATGGCTCGATTTTATCATCGACCGTCCAAAATAATTCCATTTTAGCCAATGCCTCAGCGGGCAATGGCGGCAGTAGTAGTATTAATGCTGCTTCACAGCAGCAGCAACAACAGCCGCAATCACAGCAACAACAAACACCGCAAACACCGTCGCACCAACAGCAAATGGCCAATTCGTTGTCCCCGTTACAACAATATCAGGCCAATCTAATGCTTAACGGTGTTGGTGGTAGTAGTAGTGGTAACAGCGCCAGTGGTAGTAGTAGTAACGCAACTACCATGCCACATTCCACCAACAACGGTAATGCCTCCGGTGGCATAACTCCCACACTTAGTAGTGGTGCAGCGACACACATCACAAACAATACAAATTCCGGTGGTAGTGCAACAGCAGACGCATCGTCCAGTGGCAGTGCTGCAGCACACTCATCGCCGTCGTTGGGTGTTGTACAGCCTCCACCACCCTTGACACCATTGGCCCAGCATCATCAAGCGTTGGCGCAACAGTTGCAACAACGATTTGCCATCAGCAATAATAACGGTGAGTTTATGTTTTTTGTTTGTTTGTTTTTTTATTATGTTTCTTTGGTTGTTGTGTTATTAGTTTTTTTGTTGTATTTTTTATTATTTCTGTTTTTGTTATTTTTTTATTTATTACATTTGTTGTTATTATTGTCAGTGGTAAAATACATCTACAAATGATGATGTTATTGGTGTTGGTGCTAGCGAAGATGGTGTTCGATGCCGGTGATGGGTATTCTTATTACGACTATTATTAATATTGATGATGTTAGCATTTTCCTGAACTTAATATTTGACTTATTTAATGACATTGTAAATGTCAGCATCATAAGGTATTAATATTGTGTATTTTTTTCTCTTTTTTATAACACAATTTGTTGGCTTATTTCTATATTTTCCCTCTGTTTCCCACTTTGTCCTTCCTGTAATAAATGAATTTAATTTATTGCCTACCTCGTAGTTTTGTTGTCGACATTTTTTGTAACATTTGCAGTGTTACTATCACAGCTGCGCTTCCTCCTTAAGTTTATGTCGGCCATTAAAGACATCCTGAAAATATTTCCTTCCGTAAGAATTTCGTTGCGGTGGCCGCTGACGCTCTACATAATTGTATGGGAAATTGTAAGACAAGTTTTTGTATATCATTTCGAGGAGAATTATTATTACAATTAATTGCAAATTTTCACAATTCCAGTACTGTGTGATAGTTATATTGGTAAATAAGCTATTACATATTATTTTAATTTAAAAAAAAAACGCAATGCTTTCATATTTGTGGCTAGCCAAAATTATCACATCGTACATCATGATTCAAAAATTATTTTTCTTTCTGCCAATTTTACGCATAGTTTACAAATAAATTATTATTTAAAATAAAAAATTACACCAATGCATTATATAGCTGAAATCGCGATTTTAGCGGCAAAAAATTAAATTTGCAGCTTAAAATTTTTCAAAAAATTTTGATGGCATTCTGTACACAATATAGTGATAAGAAAGAATCGATTTCCAGGAATGAGAAAACATTTAGATGTGTCTATATATGAAGTATTGTGTACAATGGATGTTGAAGAATTGATTGATTCTTGTGATATCAGTCATTCCAATGAATGGGAATCCAAAATCCCCCAATTAGAACCTTAAATACATAAAAACTGCTAATTCGTTTAAAAAACGTGATCAAAATTCCAACAATTTCGATTTATGGGATATATCGTTATATGAGGGCTACCCGAAAAACGAAGTTTGGCTAAATATGAGAGGTTACCATTCAATGTTTCATAATTAACTCAAACAAATAAAAATATCAGGACAAAAATTGTCTTAGCATCATGAAGTATTATTTATTCCACTATCGATAATATCGCAGTTGCGTAGGGTATGCTATGGTCGGCCCCTGCCAATAATTGCTTATTGTTTATTTATATAAAAAGTTTTAACATTTTCTGTACGCCCTATAGCTTTCATACACATCACATATTAGGCCATTCGTTCCATATGTGTCCCATTTAATTATATTTCTTTAAAATGTATACAAACAATAATAAGTTATCTATTTAATCCGCCTCGACAACATTCCGCACAATACCAGTTTTCGCTGTCGTCGTCTAATTTATTTGTTGCTCTATAACTTTTTATGGCAACGTGTTCCGCCACTACTCATCATCCTACTATCTGCTGCTGCAGTGCTTATAAAATAGGATTTGCATTTGCATGACCATTTCAGGTGGAATTGTTTAAACAAATTGTTCCTCCAACACGACGAGACTTGTCTGTCTAACCTACCGTACCCGCTGTTGCTGTCTGTTCACAGCTGTTTATTTTTCTTTTCAAAAAAAAAAGTGGCTTTTATAAATTATTTCAGTCGTTGCTCACGCCCATTTCATTATCTTTCAAGATGAATAGAACAACTACAACAACAAGAAATAAATATGAATATTTTATTTAAAAATAATTGTTTATTATGCACATGTTTACATTTTGTAGTCGTTGTTGTTGTTGTTGGTGTTATTTAACGTTCTACGTTTTATCTAATCATTTATTATTTGTTTTGTTTACGCTCGCTCTTCTCTGCTTCTGTGGGTTTTGTTGTTAAATAAAAATGACCAAATAAAACAAACAACAACAATATCGCTATGGGGCCCAGTGAATTTGGAAATATTGAGCAAAAGAGAGCACTGACTTGCTCTTTCAATAAAAAGTTTATACTGAGGGAGCGTGAGAGAGAGAGAGAGTAGCTATGCCAATGTAAATATGGCCATATTTTTGGGGTTGCCCGTTATGAAGAAAAGGAAATAAAATCCCACCATTGGGAGAATCTATAATACAATATATTTTTTTTTTACATTATTTAGGAACGCATGTATCTGTATCAACCAAACCTACCTTTTTACCTTCAACAAACTTGAAACTCATCACATTTTGAGTTCAATAAAAAAGATGTATAGACCAACACATTGAAAATGTGCTTCTTCTTGAATATGTAAAGAATTGCAAATATTGTTAGAATGGATCAAAGGAAGGGATCTATTTCACTAGAAAATGTTAGACAAACAAATGAATCGTTTATTTTGAAAGTGGTTTAAGTCCATTTTTTCTTATAGTGGGATATTTAAAGGTTTGGGTGTGATTTCTTTCAAAAACATTGTTAAGCGGTATTATGTTTTGTTTGTGGCTCTGTGTCCTTAAATATGATAGAATATATAACGTAATATGCTTTGTTAATTTCTCTGGAAAACCAATATTTGTATTAGCGGCTAAAATCAGTGTTGCCAAAACTTTGCCATTAAAAAATGCTAGATTTTGTTTAAAAAAATGCTATAAAGTGCTAAAAAATTTAAAAAAGTGCCAAATAAAAGTGCTAAAAATTTATAGAAGGAATTTCGTTTATAGCTAATAATGAAATCTTAAAATTTGCTTGCAAGACCTGTAAATATTCACCTGATATCCTATTTATTCATAATCAGAATAAAATCCTATGTCGATATAGCCATGTATATATAACACGCAACATTGACGACAGATCTTTGAAATTCTGCACATTGCAAACATTCCTAGGATGGTATTGAAAATGGGATATATGTGTCCCCAACCGATTTAGCTATAATTTGACATTTTGGATTTTCATTGGAAACTAGTAAAAAAGTGTCAGTCGGTGTTGCCGACAGATATATACCCCCAGCCTGTGGTTTGCGGAGGTCTTCGGAATTACACACAGATTATATTATTGGCTTTATATAAGAAATATGTTTTTATCAAAGAGGTTTCGGATTTAATGTTGATAAAATTTTATAAACTACTGGGTCCAATCTTCGGAATTGATATAGGGTTGGTATTGATAATATTCCAATGCAATAATAATTCGCCTGATATTGCATTTATAAATATTGAAAATTTTGACCATTCGTGGGGGAGGTACCAGAAGTAGTCGACCAATGGGTCCCAGCTTTGGAAATAATCTAGACTTCGTAAAAATAATGGGTTGTGCATTGTTTGGTTCATATCGGACATTCCGTTCGCCTGATAATGGATTTATAAATATTGAAAATTTGGACCCCTTATGGGTGAGGTACCAGAAGGAGTGGACCAATGTGTTCCATCTTCCTACTTGACCTAGGCTTGGTGAAGATAATAGATTGTACACAGCTTCGTTAAAATAGGATTCTCATTAGGCTGGAAATCTCCATGCCAATAATTATCAAAATTTGGCCGTGTTTCGGGGTAGCCTCCAGAAAGCAGTCATGGACGTTTTTTAATTGATTGTAATATCACATTGCGCGTATGCTTCGGAGGCTGGTTTAAAGTACCGACCTATTTTCGGTATTTTGAGGGGTTTAGCCGTATTCTCTGGCCTCTGTTAGGGTAGAAAATATTTATGTGGACAATTTCTACATTTGATACTCCATTTAAAATTTCCGTCCTATTTGCATACTTTTAAAGTTTTAAAGTACGTCCATTTTTTTACATAACTCCCATATAAAGTGGGGCGTGACACATTTTTGCTACTATGAAGTGGCTATAATATGACATTCCAGAAAGTTTATAATTTAGGTTCATAATTGTTTTTTTTTTTTCATTTTCCCAAATAAACAACCTAATACCAGACAATGTCACAGTTACCATATGACTCAATAGGTCTATGTGGAATCGAAAAACGGAAAATTTTTTAGTATAAAACCAAATAGACGGAAAGTTTTGAAAATATCCAAAAAAAAAAAAAAAAAAAAATAAATAAATAAATAAATAAAAAATGCTAAAAAAGATGCTAGGTGCTAGATCAATTTTTTTGGTGCTAAACGAGTTTAAAAAGTGCTAAATCTAGCACTAAAAGTGCTAAATTGGCAACACTGGCTAAAATAGACTTAAACCACATTCAAAATAAACGACCCAAATACTTACATATGCATAACAAATTCCATCTTCCATGTAAACATACTATCAGCTTTTACGGCAAATAATTATAGCTGTGGCACCTCTTCAATACATGCTATGTACAAAAGAGATAACGAGCGAGTGCAAGCGTTAAAAAAGAGAGCTTGGAAGAGAGCACAATTTCTCTTTCATTTCCATTGCGACATTTTTCATTCATATTCTTTTCATCATTGTTTATAGCAAAACGAAAAGGATGCCGAACAGGGCGGTCGAATAAAATTGTATGCGTTTTGTTTTTCGCATAGCCACCCGCTTTCAATGAACCGACGAACTCAGTTGGCGTTTAATGTACGCAGCGTAAAGCGGCGGCGGCTTACTCGAGTTTCATTTTTGTATGGCGTTAATTAATCGTAAATAAAGCACAAAAAATGAAATAAATAAAGAAAACACCATCAAAATTTAGCAATGCAATACAACAACAAATCGTTTGAATATTGCTGGTGAGAGCGTCGTTCTTGTAGACAAATAAAAAAATCTGCAAAAAAAAAGAAGAAAAATAAAAAATAAAAGTGTTTTTCGTTTTAAGAAAGAAACAAAATTGATAACAAGTTCAAGAAAATTTGCTTCGCAAAAAAATTAAAAATGCAAATAGTGAATGTTAACAATCGAATTGTGTTCTATAGGATATGCTATGATATTGTCAGCTAAAAAATAATAAATATAAAAATGACGGCAATTAAAAAAAAATATTAAAATAATAATATAGCAATGTTGTAGACGTGTTTGTGTGTGTGTGATGTGTAGAAAATTGGAAGCATGTCATTCATGCATAGTGACTCCTTTCCTTCTCAATATCCGTATTCGCATCCCTAACATTGTGTAGCAATCTGATGTGTTGTGTTGTTCCTTTGCCACCAATATATCGTCGGTGGTTCTGTGCCTAAGTAGTGGTATCGTTAATCGTGGTTTCCATTTTACTTTTGTATCTTTTATGCAACGTTATCCATGTTACTTGTGTACCGTTCTGTGTTTTTTTTTTCTGCCACTCTGCTGCTCTTCTTTGATCCCGAATTACTGCTTTGTGGCATTTGTGGAAAACCGTGTCTGTGGCTTGATTGGAATTTTAATTGCAATAAAGAAGGAAAATTACAAGTGACAGCTACAAACACAAACAACAATGAATGAATATGACCGAGTGTCCGAGTGGATGTCACATGATTTATTAGCGGAAATGACGGAAATGTCGTTTTATTGCAGAAAATCAAATTGTTTTTCTCCGTTCGTCGTTTTTTGTTCGTCAATTATGGATGGTGTCAATAATGAAAATGGAATAATTTATTTTCGTTTTGTGT